TCTCGTTTTGATTCCTGTAAACTTATATGGAGGTGCGCACACTACTCGATTTGAGTTGTGCAACTAAACAGTTGAATTGGCTGCGAAATAATCGACAATCGCACAACTGTTCTGCGATAGTTTAGTCAAAGGTATGCGACCGCTTTAAGACAAAATGTATATATTTAATACAAAATATTTTATCAGTAAGAATATCAGAGACTTTCAGATTTCATAAAATTTGATAACATTATTGAAATAGTATTTTATAGTCTTCGTTATAAGATCTAACCGTGAAATTATGCTGGCGAAACACTTGTAATAGAAAATATTGCTATCTTTGTTCATTTCAAAAAGAATGAGAGTGACGAAATTAAATTCTTACACGAGTGTTACGACAGTGAAACCCCACAGTTATTTTTATTGATCTGTAAGTATTTTAGAATTAAACATTAATCAAATGTTATTCGTTTCATTAATTCAAGTGTTAAAAATATGTATTAATAAAATCTGCTATCCGAAGGATACCCAGATATTACTTAATTTTATTTAGTACGTAATCAATATTAATATTATAAAGAGAAAAATTTTGTATTTTTGCATGTATTGAAATAACTCAAAAGGTACTGGGCCAATTTTAAAAATTCTTTCACCATTACAAAGCTACGTTATCACTGCATACCATATTTTTTTTTTTTTAATATGAGTTGACAAGTATTTTACACACTGTTTTGAATATATGACATGTACTACAAGGTAGCTTGCGCATAATTTCCATTATGTTTTACTTTCAAATAAATAAAATACTTACAGATCTCCACTATATATTACAATATAAACATCAACACACGAAGAAGCGGTATATATTTGATAAGCGAACGACGAATTGCTTTCTTTTGACAACCTTTTATTTTCAAACAAACTATCACGAGAATATCAACATTATTTGGTCGAAATCGATGATTTTAATATGAATTTGAGAATTCAGACCGAGTTTGAAACAACACGTCAGCGCGATAAGCTTATCTGTGGGTTTATCATGAACTTTCCTGTAACAGTTGCAAGAACGCATTTTATCATCTACTTTATTTGTTGGTGTATTTAAAGATCGATAGGGGCGCTGTAGCAATCTAATAAAAATGTCTTACATTTAGGACCTGTCCAATCAAATTGTAAATTGTCTTTTAACAATCCAACGTGTAAAACATGTGATGGAAATATAGGATTTCGTTGCCTTATCTGACGGTGACGTCATTTTTAAGCTATCTGTGCCTCTATCAGCCAGTAGTGAGACGGGCCCTGAGAATACGTTAAATGTTCTGATGTTTCCTTAAATGTTTCTGATAAACCCTCTGATAAGTTTATATGACTAATAAAGTTTATGGAAATGTCATGAAATATTTATGAAATAAACTTGCAAGCTGAATTTGTTAAGCTATTTTAAGTAAGATTTTCTTTGTTCTATTTATCAAATAACTAGCTTTCGCTCTCAACTCCGTCCGCGTGGAATTAAAAAAGTGAGTAGCCTATGTGTTCTTCCAGACTACCCTCTACATCTGTGCCAAATTTCACCGAAATCCGTTCAGCATTTTAGAAAGCTACATCATGACTGAGTAACAAAGGCTATATTTAACAGCGGTCGAGCCCGCTTTAACATCTTCGCACGAATTGGCCAACTCGCCCAGTGTAATACCGCGACCACACAGAAAACAGGCTTGAAGTGAACGCAATTCCGAGTACAGTCTGATAAGTGTGGTGCCGGAGGCCTAATTTTAGTCCCTTTCCCTTTCCGCCCTTTTCTTATGAGGAAAGGATGGGAAGGAAAAGTGAATTTGACGGTGGAGGAGACGCATAGGAAGGGGAAATGTCCTCTTTATATGCGTCTCCTCCTCCGTCAAATAAGGGTAGGCAACGCATCTGCAATTGCAGCGATCGGTTTCTATTTCGGTGGTTTCAGTGATTCAGGTGGCCTCTTGCTCGTTTGCCACCATATGTTATAAAAAAAATACTAGTTTTTTTTTAACAAACGTGGAGTTTTTTAAATATTGCCATGACATTCCCATCTGCCTATTGCGTTAGCATTTCGACTAACAATGAACTATAAAATTTAAACGTTATTAAAAATACATGCGCATTACAAAACTTTAACTATAAAACACACACAATATCAAATGCTTGTTTAGCTAAAACCACAGGGTATATTAAATAACGTATTTTAAAAATAACCTAGTTTTTATATCAATTTGTACTATCCAAACATGTTAACATTTTCAACGAACATTTAAATGAGTGGTTTAAAATGAGGGGTATAAAGGCAATTACGCTTTGAACCATTTTTGGTAACTAGGCATACTTCAAGTCCACCACTGAATGAAATTTTTAATCTGGCAACATTGGTATGCCTTGTTAAAAATGAATTAAAGCGTATTTTCTTTTATAATCCTCAAATATTTGTTATCTAAAATTATGGCTCAGATAACAGTCGAACCCAATAATCAATCTATTAGATTTGACCATACCGATACACTAAAAAAAGTGTTCACACTAGTATTAACTGCTGAGATTTAAAAAGTGTTGCCATTTCTAATAATTCCAAGAGCATTCGAAAGAAAAATAAAATAACTAATTGATTGAATTAATTCAAGAAACTGTCATCTATTTAAATATAGATATCTACTAATACTTTTAAAACGCACATATTAAAATATTTTAATTACTAGTTGTTACATTTTTACATTTCAATTCAATGAGCCAATAGCAAGATATAGTGTTGCCATTAATATTTTGAAATATAGTAATACAAAAATAAAGAAATGTTAACTACAACGATGGAATGATTTTAAAAATATGTTTTGAATAGGATCTATAATTTTTCGATTACAAGGAATTACATATTGCTAGTTGAACAAATTTTTTTTTAATCATTTGAACATCACTATTTAACCAAAAAAAACTATTATAAATTGGTTTAAAAAACGTTCTGAGCCACATTGATATATCGCACTTCATAAATGGAAGCACCATCAACATTTATTAACCGGTAAATATCTAAAAGCTAGCGTCAAAACTGTTATAAAACCTCGAAGCGATTGAATATATATTTATGCGGCATCTTAATCATTTATAATCTTTTTCTACACGTTCTTTTAAGTGCAACTATACCATCCACCATGAAAGCAGCGTCCAAAAAAAAAAAGATAGCATTAATTTTGCAATACACTGAAATATAAAGTTTCATAGACTAAACATTAGGCAGTTTGCAATATTCTGTAAAGACTAACGATAGGTAGAAATTTACTCTATGGTCACTATAGTCTATGATACCATAGTGTTTAGCATGTAGTCAATTTACCGTTAATATCTACTCGTTTAGGTATTAAAAGCTTTTGAATAATGCAAAGTGATGCTTTAGATAAATTACGCCTTAAAGATTGGCTGTAAAAACGATATTTTTCTTATATTATTGTGAAATTAAATAATGACAAAAAGACTATAAATAATTACAGATTTTTTACCAACATTTTACATCTATAATTTAAATAATCTATGATATTATAATACCATAGAATATTTAATCTATGGTATTTTCATAGATTATACATTGTAATTTTTTTAGTGTTACTTTCTATACAATTGCCAATCAATTAGTGCGTAATAAATCTAAGCTAAAACGTGACTCAATCCTCCACCACGTGTATTAGTATTATAAGTGCTGCCGGGTTAGTGATGTTTTAATTTATAGTGCGACAAATTTATTTGGCACGGTGATAAAAGTGACAATAAAAGAACTAACACTCGTATAACATAGTATATTTTGTAACAAACTGCGATAACAGCGCCATTCTCACCGGGCTAAATAAGTTTTCGGAACTATAGAACGATTGATTTCACCACAGAGTATATAATTTAAATTTAACACAGATTAAAATATGACAGTATCTTGTGATTTCGATCGTTCATGAAACAT